CAAAGAAGTTGATTTTACGTGGCAGATTTCGACGCTCGGTTACTCCTGTTATTTAGTCGCCATTCTTCTCGCAACATTGACAGCACTCGTAGTCTATGCTGCCAGATTGTTGCTTTGACTAATTCCATTTTTGTATTCATTCTATAAGGGATTTCGTACTGTCACCCTTTACCAATAATCGAAATCTTTGATAGTCAAACATGCACGGACTGAGAGAAGTGCTGCGTGTCACTCCCGAAGAATCATAACCTCAAGACGCTCGCTTGAACCTTCCAGATATAGTATATACCTTTAATGCAAATGTAGACTGGAAAACCTTTCAGATGGGGCTCGTTGCCGTTGCGCTGGTCGTCGCTGCATTCACATGGATAATGAATTTCCTCTACAAAAAAGCGAAGTATATTCTTGACCGAATGTCGCTTTTTCAAGGACCGGTGGCTCTTTCATCTCGGTGGGAATCTTCACCAGTTTCGACTTCACTCCGAAGGTGCAGTGCGATCATGAGTATGTGTATTCAATGAAGAAATTTAAGATGAACCAGCTGAAGAAAAGCTGTTTTCATTGAACACTCTAAAAGCTTCTAGAAGCCAAAGGGGTGTTAAAGGCAGTGCTCGCGGTGACTGAGGCGATGCAGTTTTGGTGATCGCTGAACGTCGTTGTTGGGTCACTCTTCTAGAGGTACGGAAGGGACCACCTACTGTTGGGTTACTTATCACTTGATGATGTATCGAAACGCACCAGCCATTGTGGTCACTGCCCTTAATTCGTCCCCACCGAATATGTCGAACAAGTACTCAAGGTTCTTGACTCGGATAATAGTGTTTATTTTTTTGCAATAATAGTGACCATCGGCGCCAGAAATGTGACAGCGTCAGACTTCATGAGAAAAAATGAGAAAGCCGTCTAGAAAGCGGCTGCTTTTGTGGGGCATTTCCCCGTATGATCTAGACGAAATCGAATTTTTTAACTGAAGTATATAGAAAGAACAAATGCACGATAGAGATTTACCTTAGGTGAAGTATGCATCCTTTTTTAGAATTTTTCGAGCAGGCTCAGGGATTAGCGTACATGCTGCGAAAGGACAAGGATCGAATCACAAGAGTGTGGTTTGGGTCAGTAAAGTCACATTTCATCATTTCTTCCTTTGGTGTGTTGTTTATTTCTTTGTTCAGCGATGCCGCATGTTCTCATATATGGACCGGAGGAATGCGAAGCAGTTCTAGGCAGCAGCAAATGTTGAATAAGACTATGCAGTACAGCTTTCTTTCGGCATGGATTGGTGAAGGATTGTTGATCAAGGTACGTCCACGAGATCATTCCGCCAGATGTCAAATGAACCTATCCCACATAAAATTAGGTTACCATTTGCCAAGTCGCGATCAAACAGTTTTTTTTTGAGCACCATAAAAGGCGATGTGCATACTTACCCTACATGAATAGCCCAAATTGAACTCTCTTTATCTCCTCTTTTGAAAAGTCGAGCCTGAGTCTTTGGCAAAAAAGAGCAGTTTTTCATTTATTCAACGATACGTCGTTCCAAGTAATATGACGTGCTTACTACTAGCGATATCTTCTTTCCATTGGAGCGTGCTTTCCATACACAGTACTTAAAGGAGGAATTCACGATTAGAATGAAGGTCGAGAAAGGAAACTGACCTAGTTGAGGGACCCACGGACCTCCTGAGGGTGCGAACTGACGCGCAATTCGCATGGAAAAATTTGACCTCGGCGACCTATCATGCCTCAAAGCTGGCGGGTCGGCGATCTCCGCCCACCGATCATCTGATCACTCGCCGTAGTTCAATACGTGGCGAGTGATTAGATAGCTGAGAGAGCGTAGTGTTGAAGAGGGCACAGCGATGAGAGTCGCATCAATGCTCGAATCAACGGGCAAGGAAGGGGTATTTTCTCGGGTTCTGGGCCGTTTCTCATGGTTCTTCCTTCTTTCGTGTACCACTCACCATCCCTAGGTTAATTTGAAATGGGTTGCTTTTTCATCGTGAATTCGTCCTTTAAAGCAACAATTCCAGAAAGAATTCGCGGGTTGAAACGATGGATAATAAAGTTGTACGTGAAGAGTTGACCGATAATGAAAAAAAGCGTCGAAGAGGGCTTTAAACGGGGACTCTCCTTCTGCCCTTAGCAATGAAGGATGATGCGCATTGGACGAGTTGTATGAACTTGCCCGCAGTAGGTGCACTCCAATTGCAATTGCTGGAAAATAGCCAGCAATACTTAGCTATTTGCCAGTAATTGCAATTGGAGCGCATAATACTGAAATTATGACAGCGCCCTAAAAAGTATGATTCGGAAAATATCAATAAAAATGACTGTTGAACATGAGGAACGGAGGGGAGCAGCACTGAGTGACGCCTGTAATGGCTAACACAGTTACTGTGCCCAACGACCATGCGTACCACAAACCAGCGCATAATAAAATTAAGCCGTTGCGTATTTTCGCGCTCCGTGTCATGGGGTGTGCGCCAGATAAACTAGTCCAAGAGCCATGATTAGTGGCCACAAGCCAGCTTTATGAGACTCTAGCACCGTTGTCGCGTACTTTGGAGCCGCGACAACGGCACATCTGTGCTACATGTAGGCTACTCTATACCATTCAATGAATAGATTCTTCAGCACGACTTCTGCTGGAGTGGTTGCTTTAAATAATTTAGTGCCTTAAAAGCCATTCCAGTGCTGCTCTACTATGACGTTGTTGTAGTGTATATTTTTTTATTATTTATTTTGTTCTTTAATAGACGTTAAATCAAAATCAACAGTATATTGAAAAGAATGCAGTTTCGAACAGATTACAAAGTGGTTTCACGACACAAACACGCGGTTTGACTGCATTCGATACTATCAATTTACCATGTATCATTTCAGTAAGCCGGATAAATGGCGTCCACGGCGGAAACTTCTCACGCCCACATTTCACTATGAAATCCTGAAAGATTTCGTTGAGGTATAGCTCTTATGACACCTAAATTACTTCCTAATCAGTGGTAGTTCTGCAATTTTTCAGCAGAAGTACTTGTTTCTGAAATAAAAGGGGTTGGAGATTGCATTGCTACGATAAAAATGAATGCTATTATGAATCATCGAATAATTTAGGTCTACAACCGACATGGTCGGACGCTATTGGGCAAGTTTTTGAAGCACGCCGATAGCGGAGAGTACGAGGACATCTTCCACACTGTCACCCTCTGCACCCTGGATGTGATTTGCGAAGCTGCGCTTGGCATCTGCCTCGACGTGCAGAAGAATCCTCATTCCCCGTATCTGGATTCAGTGTTCAAGTAATATCCTAAATTTTGCTGTTATGAGAGCTCTCCTTCAATGTTTTTAATTGTTAAGGATGAAAGTGATAATTCAAAAGAGATTAGTCAAACCGCAGTACTACCCGGAGTTTCTGTTCAACTTGATCGGAGCTGGAAGGGAACAAGCACGTTGCGTCAAGATTCTGCACGAATTCACGGGCAATGTGAGAATTCCTTTTTCAATACGCAATTTTTCGACATAGATTTTTTTGTTACGAAGCTGCTTTGAAGCGTAGATTGACGTTGTGATATATAGGCCTCAAAGGCAGTGATCGTGATGGCCGGAGGACGGTAGGGTTCGATGACGTTAATGATTATCGTCGATGAACTAGACCCCTCAGCGCGCTGAGTATAATGTTGGGACGGCTTCTTAACACCCTTCCTCTGACTGACATAAAGGCACAATCCAGGCCGAAGAGGCGTGAACGATTTCCTTCGCTCTGTAGGATAGAGCCCCAAGGTCACTCAGCACTCCCATGCGTAGTAACTATTCGACAAATGCGCCTGGGCCTTGCAAAGTGAATTGCAGGAGCTGCAATGATTGTAGGGTCTTGCCTGGCGCCCTCTCGATTCATACCCTTCCATCCGCATAGCCCTAGCACAGCCGCGTTGCGGAGGAGAACAAGCCCTTAACCTGAGCGTTTTCGTCAGATTCCTCTCTTTTTCTTTACTGCTAGTCCATTTTGCTACATTTTCGAATTCGTGTGCAAGAGTCATACCAGTTTGATAAAGACTCTACCTTAAAGGATAAAAGGATAAAGCATTTGCCGTTGATCAATCCCTTTTTGGGATGCGGCACGCATTCTACTTCCATTTGTACATTCGTAGTGGCGTTTGAATGCGATGTGGCCTATACAATGACTTGCGGGGGCCAGCCGATGTACAAGTCAGTGTTTTTATCCTCCCAGACAAGTCTGGTACCAATTAACCGACCCCGGAGGGATGGAAGGCTTGGTTGGCCCGGGCGACTCACGACCCAGGATTTGATCCCCGGACCGCTCGCGTGGTAAGCGTGCCACTTGCCACTACACCACTTCCGCCCTCAAGCTTTTATCCAAGCTGATAGTCGTAGCAAAAAATTCCTGTCATCAAAAGGGAGCGTGCTGCCAACTTATTTCCATTTGAATGTTGCATATTTTCTGAACGTAGCGAGTCGCTCTTATTTTACAGGTGATTCGAGCCCGAAAGGCAAAGGCTGACGCAGCAGGTGGTGTGGAGAAACTTCTTGCGCAAGAGTCAGCGGAAGGTACTGTAATACGGACTCACAGCCACAATTTCTACGGCTTTTGTAATTAGCATGATTATGCATGAGTGTGCGCTCGAAATATTCAAGTTTTCCTGTAGGACTTAGTGCTACACTATCATTAAAAGTGCAATTCACCACCGATTACTTCTTCGGTGAAGAACTCGTTCGAATTTCGTTTCAATCTTAGCATTCTCCGGTCATGCTGAAGGTGGGCAACGTGTACCGATATGCAAGCACTAATAGAAAAGTGAAGCGAAAGATTACAAGTAAGAAAATAGTACCTCAAAAAAGTGATGTACCAACTCTACTCGAAAGGCCACATAACCAGTTGGAGACAACGGCGCGGATGGTGATGTTAGAGCCACACAAACACCCTGAGTTGTTCACGTGGTAAGGATCTTGGATGGGCGCTACATAGGAGGGGGTGCTATCCGCGAAGATGTGGACAACCTATTGGTCATTCAAAGGTGAGTGATTTGTGATTCGAACGAGTCTGCCGGGTACACAGAAGCGGTACAAGCTTAGCAACAAATTTAAGTTTGTAAACGTGGAGAATACTTCACTACAAATCGCCCATGTGAAAGTTAAATGATAGATAATTTTGTCGTTTTTACGTAGTTCACCTACATTTCATCATACTGATCTGGCATCTCCACTTATTTA